GGTAATAGTTACGAGTATACTGTTGATGGTACATCTCTTCCAAGCGTTCAAGAACATAACAACTTATGAGTAATAATAATTCATAACTTGAAAACAACTACGCAGTGCAACGCAGCTGCTGTCGAAGGTTTTCGTGCGTTATGACCACTTCGCCGAGCATTCAAATGCTCTGGTGGGGAAACGTTTCGCATTTTATATGCCACCTATGTAATACTACACTTAGAGTACTGTATCCAAACAGATAAAGGATACTAACTCACGCGAGCGTGTTCAGCGTGTGGGAACAAAATCAGTGAAGGGTCTTTCTAAATTCCTTTACGATGAGCGCTTAAAACGCCTAAATCTTTTCCCCTTGTCATATCGTAGGACGCGAAGTGATCTTGTACTGGTATTTCGTATCATTGATTATGATTTAGGTGTTAATACGTCTTATCTTTTTGCTCCCTCCAGCACTAATAATCTCCGAGGTCATAGCAAGAAGGTTCACCAATCGCGATCTAATGAACTTAAAGTGGGGTTCCGTTTTTCTCATTGAGTAGTCAATGATTGAAACGCCTTACCCGAACAAGTGGTATCATTCCCATCAGTGAATATTTCCAAGGAGAAGCTGGACCTTCACTGGAAGGCAATCTGTCACGATTAACACAGGTTCACCAACCTACTATCCTTATTACTGAAGACTGAAGATCTTTTCTGAAAATAACCAATTAGACTAAAAGTGTCATATGGGTCTATTGAGCTCGTACCTACTCAGAAATGAGTGTGTTTGTACCATGTAGCACCGTCTATTACAACATTTTTGTTTCTGTTTTGTTTACCGTCATCAAGTTCATACCTAGTGATGGCTGCTTTCAATCTGTTTACAATTATCAGAAATCAATATTGGATTCCTACTTTCAGTTATTATTTTCGATTCTTGTAGGATCAAGACAAAGAGTAATTTTTTCATCTGAACAAATAACTAACATACAAAGCTTTAGACTCAAAATCCAAGAAACAATGCGTTCTTGATTTCAGCTTCACAAAGATTGAATATTCAGGTGGTTTTACTCTTGTGATTTGTTGCATTGTTCTTGCCTGGAGGTATTGGTGATCCCCTGCTACTAGACACGGAAGCCTGTTAAGCGAAAGCTTCTTCTATTCCGTCCACAACCATTTGAACCATTTGAACCATTTGTGCATTGAGCAATTTCAGGTCGAAGTTTAAATGATTTAAAGTAGGTAAACAGCTGATCTCTGACGGTTGAGTATGTCAAGACTAAGTCGTGTTGTCCAAGATATTTTGGTTATGAATACCCCTAAATTAATATGCAGACAAAATTTATACATTATAGAGTGGCTGTTAAATTAAAACCGACAAATATTTTCCCTGGAAATAAGTATTGGTTGACTGAAAATGAAGTCATTGTGCTGGAACTAAAATTACCAGAAGTATTTCACTAATTATCGACCTGTTGTGCACGTACTAGCAATTCGTTGACTTTAAATGCATCTTTCTTCTCGTTTTAGGTGTCTGAAAGGGATTCGAGTAATGTCACTCACTCTCCATATATATATATATATATATATATATATATATATATATATATATATATATATATACAGTTGTGTTTCCTTGTGAGATTACTCGTAAATAGTTGATCGCGCTCTCATCTGGTGTTTTATAGGAGCAGTGTCGAAACTTGGAGTATGCTACCTACTCATTCAGTGATGTGATATATGCGATACTAACTAGTGTTCAGTTTTTATCGCATGACTATATTCAGAAGCAAACATGAACATTAGAACGACTAGGAATTCGTGTTGTCGGCTGATTGACCGTGGAAATAATAGAAAACCATGTATGGTTTTCTATTGTTTCCGAAACGCTCACCAACCAGTGGTATGTTATTAAGTTAGACTGAATTCATCGTTTAGTCACAACAATGTAAAGTGTAACGCACGTACTGTTCCAAGCTATCACAACGAAGAAAGTTGACTGAACGAAAGCAAAGAAGTCTAAGTGCTCATATTTGTCATAATGGAGTCTAAAGGGGTGGGGTTAACGAATCTCATTAATACTTCTAAAGTATCTAGAATGAAATATTAGAAGCTGACTCATATCTACTCTTTTAAGCCATGTTTCACAAATGCAGAGCAATATAGAACGCACTGCTGTGGTTCATATTGGCCTGATAATTAAGAGGCGAATTTCACCTGCACAAATGGACCAAAGATGAGAGAGTATTTTATCCATTTCTTTCAGATTATCATTAATTGTTCGTAGTTTTTGGTTTAGCGGGAATCACTATAACGAGGTTGTAGCATTTGTATTTTTTATTCATAAAGGAAATTGGTATTTTGTAGGAATTAAAGCTCTTTGAGGATGCTTATTATGTAGGCACGTTACCTTGTTTTTTTTTTTAGAAATGCCACTAAATAATCATTCCATTTGTTATATGATACGACTCAGTCAATGCATTCAGAAGTTGCATTTGGTTGTGCTGAATATTACAACTGTCGGAATTTCGCATGTTAGTCACATCTTCAAATGTATAGATGATCGTTTCAGTATAACCTTATTGAATAACAGTCTATTTTGAACAGGGACACATCAGTATTGTATAGCTGTTGCCTCTTGATTTCACGAAGATCGATACTTATTGACGCAGCAACGACAGACATTCTGGCGATAAAAATTTGATTTCCCCTACGTATTACGTAACTCTGTAGGCTAAAATGTTTCTTACCCGATTTAGTTCAATATTTTATTTTATTTGGACGCAAATATTGTTGCAAGGAGACAGCTTATACATTAATACGCGCCACACAAATCATTCGATCTGAGGGCCTGAATACTAGGGCCCCCAGATTGAGGCAGGTCGTTATATTAGGCACCACCCTCTGGGTCTTTGATCTAGAAGTTTAATCCACAAGGCAGTGGGGTAACGTCAGGAGATGCAGTCTCATAGTGGCCTGTGACCAGCAACAGGTTCACATACTATTTATTCCCTCAGAATCCTGGAGCCCATGTGCACCACTGGTTTTGAATCAGGGTTTTCCAACTCCCTTAGATGGATCTCCTATATCCACCAACCCGGTTAAGGCGCCGGACATTCGTTTTTTTTGTCTTGTCACTTTGGTAAACAATACCCCTCCTCGCGAGAGGGCAGTGAGTAGAACTTCCGTGGCTGTAGCTGTATACGCGTGGCCATATGTGAGTATTTGAAGAGGGAGAGTGAACTCCCTATTCTCGACCGTACCAGGGCATTTAAAGGCAATGTACCCGCGGGGCGAGGCATCGCCGAAACATGGCGGTGTCAAAAACCAAAATGAATGTTTATAGTCCTGGTTTTTTTTCAGTGCAGCGATGTTGTATTAACTGCTATTCAGTGGTACTCACACTAAGATACCTGGATTTCTCCAGTATGACAACGGTTTACTACGACAGACAAAGACTGTTGGGAAACTCTAGGAAATATGCCATAACTAAGGGCATTCATCGGTAACTAATTGAGAGCAACTCAGATAGTCTGTAGTTTATTGGGCTGTTCGACTCTTCATCTCAAGATAAATTAGTAATTTTCTAAATAATGAATTTATATTGTCATCAAGCGCTTATAATCTGTCTTCAGAATGACCATTAGTAATAAAAGGGGAGCGGCGACTCAAAGATTGAACAGCTCTCTCTAATTCCATCAGTGGTTGAAACTCTGGAGCAAAATAGTTAAAGGCCATTGGTTTGCTTGAGATGTTCTTGTATAGAGATTTTGGAATGTCAATGAACGTTTGAGTAAATCTAATTAAATTCCGAAAACACAACTATAAGTTTAAGTGGAGTTGTTGGTTTTCTGTAATCTGTACAGTCCTCAAGCATCTGAAACAAGTTACATATAGGTTTACTTGCTTTCAGAAGTGGACATTCATAATAGTTTAAATGTGTAACTTTTAGAGGTGGTCCGTAATAATCTATTCATTCTCAAATGAGTAGAAAGATTGGTTGAAAATACTTATGCTCTGTATAAAATAATAAACCTTTGTCGAGTTATGGTACGACAAGTGGTGTAACTTGGCCTCCAAATTCGAGCCAAGTTCTGGATTTTTATTACCGTCACACCAATTTGTCTACTGTAATTTGACCTGCAGGAGTAATCCTCACGAGTGATTCTTGAATGTGTTATTTCTGGTTCCACATTAAGATAATTTTTAAAACCAAATAAAGATAGCCATATATCGTTTTTATCAGCAGCAAAAATATGTTGTTGTACTGGATAGACAGCTTCGCTAATATGTCCATATCTCGAGAGAATATATACACGAATAGAATATATCAGTAGGCACATTAAATGGTATGGGATTCATTATATATCCCTGTCACTTGGTTGTGCAAATAATGCATGTACAACTGAACTTCGAGTTACGTATTTGTCTTCAGCCATACCTACCAAAGTTTTGAGCTAGCCAATAATACGAACCCTCACGTAATAGGTGTTATTCAGTCTAATATAGTTATGTACACTGAATTACTTGGCTTCATTTGTCCAAATAAGAAACTATTTTCAGACAAACTTGTTAATAAATGGGCTTAGGTAAACAAAATGAAAACGTTTACTTTAGTAAGTCAGTTACGTTTGCATAACGTTAGTCAGTTAGTAATATTCAACGAATATCTCATGTTTCACCGCCATTAATTACAACAGCAGCCTACTGCGCAGTATACTTATCCTTTGGTTAGGAAATTTGTACAACGAGAATAAATTTGAATTTGTCAGTCAAAATCCTGGTTAAAGTAGGATTAGGCTGGTAAAAACTAGATATAAGGAAATGGAAACATGATGCAGCACTATAGGGTTACTAACTATTGGTCTGAATTACTTGAGAAAGTGCTTGAGTGCTGTTAGAGGTATGGGGGCGGTTATCACTTCTCGGTTGCCCACACCGTGGAGGGGTTCTTCTGGAGGTACCTGAGAAGGAAATGGGTCTGGAGGTGGTCATAGTGACCCGAGAGCGTGACCGCAGTGCCCAAGGGACAACTGCTTGAGGTCGGTCACATACGACCTTTTTATGAGTAGTTTTTGTGTTAGCTCCGTACTTGTTGAGACCTTACCGCCGGAGACGGACATCCGTGGGATAAGGCGAGGTGTGCTTTTGAAGGGGTCGACTTTTTCTAACCCCATTCCTCCTCATGGGAAGGCAGCATCACTGTTATGCTGGTTGTCTGAAGGAAACACCTTACTGCTGCTCTTCAACCAACCTGTCTGGCATGGTAGGACCTTGAGGAACGGTTGTTTCAGCCAGTATAGCTCGATTGGTTCATCACGATAGGCAAGCCCGACCACCACGTCAAGGTAGCAACAGCTGTCGGGTTACGAAAGTGCACATTTCAGCGTAATGAAAACAAACGTCACAGGTAATTACTTGATGGCATATCTTGAAAAAAGTCACGGTAACATATGAACCCACCATTTCCTCTCTAAATTTTGAATGTTTCGTGACTCATTCCGTCCTGCGTCAAACCAGTATTTTCCATATCTACTTAAATGTCCTGACATTTTTACAAATTTGATTTTACCATACTTTTACGTTTTGTGGTAACTTGGTCCTAGTCTCTTCGATTAATAGTTATTTAATAATATTTTTGTCTTATATCACTTAAGGTTCCCAGTTACTAGTTTTTGTTACTGTTTCATTAACCATTCGGAAGCTTTGATGTCATGCTGTAGTTATAAGAGATAGTCATTGGATTTATTGTTGAGTGCCATTACTTTTTGTTTTACTTTGTTTAACTACTTTCATATACAAAACAAAGTGGTTTGATGAATGGTTGAGGTTCTAACGATAACCACGGTCAGTGGATAGCGACGGTGGGTGACATGGTTTAGTCACTCACAATGACGCGGTTATATTCACTCTTTATCTTCCTTTATAACTTGAGGTCTAATATTCTTTTATGCATACCTTTTCATTCTGTCTTCTCAGACCATATTTTCTCTGTACTTGATCTTCCTCGTTATCATTGATACTACGATTATTTCGATTTCTTTAATATTCATTTTGTTAATTTCATCTTGTTGTGCTGATGTGGTATGGAAGCCTGAGCTGATGCACGTTCGTTGTAGGCTCTGTGTTAATTGTGATTGACTTGTTAGTTGGCATCTATTTTAGATATATTGTTTTTATAACATTGGTTAGATAGTACTCTTGATTTACTATTTGGTTTCAGGTAGAAACTCTGTTCTTTTTACTAAAATTAAGACAGTTGGGTAGTAGGACTTATAACCTAAACAAGAGCTTTGATATTGCCTACTAGATTACACCATTTTTATTTTTGTCATTTGCTTATTTCCAGTCAGTCAGACGTATCGTAGAAGCTGACGCATGTGTATATCGGTTTAAGTTCCCATAGCTGCTTAACACCGTGAGATCAAATTGTCAAAGCAACCCTCAGAGTAGTAGAGGTAGTAATAGAAAAGATTATGTACTGAAGATACAACTCAAGAAAATGTAAATTAGTAAAACAATAAAAAATTTATGAGCAATCTAGAAACTTATGATCTAAGGGTAGACAAAGAGTGAATGGACCTGGGTCATTGCGAACGATTTTGAGTTATGTCACCCAAAGTCTTTAACTATTATTTGTGATAATCATTTTAACTAAAACCAGGTAGTTTATACCTGTTAAAGTGGGCCAGTCCAATTGTCAATGACTTCATGGACTGGTGCCGTATCTTGGTTTTGCTGCTTCTGACATTCTTTCAGTCCATTTTCACTCGTTCCACCATTGGTCGTCGGGTGAGATGTGTTTGAGCATACAAAATTTATGTTTCTACCATCACAGTCGATAAATATTTACTACCATGGTTGTCGATTCGCCATACATACTTTGTACTCTGTGTTTAACGTCAGAATTGCCAACTTGATGGTCCATAAATATACGGAAAATATTTCAAACATACGCATAATCAAGCACTGGTAATTTAAGAATATGCTCTCTTTAAAGCTTCTTGCGTATTTCCTATTCTGTGAAGCTTGAATTTATCGGCAAATTGTTTGCAGTCACATTAAAGGTCGGTAACATTTTGTCGTCAGCGTTCTTGTTGTGAGGTAGCTCTAGTCATAGTTTTTATCTTCTTTATTTGTAGTTCCAATGATTCGTTTGGCGGATAAAATACGTCAAAGACAAAGTGGCGTCACTTCTACAGAACCAGATGCTGTTCAATCGGCTTCCGTTCGAAATGCTACTATCCGTGATCGTCTTGTGTTACAGGAACTGCAAGAGTTAAGGGCTAATATATCCTCCCAATGTTCAATTCATCATCCCGATCCAAACAAACTCCATGAATTCACATTAATAGTAAGACCAAATGAAGGAATTTGGGCTGATGGAAGTTATCATTTCAATATTGTTGTTCCCGAAGGTTACAATCACACTCCACCACTAGTCAATTGTACTACACAAATTTGGCATCCGAATATCGATGAAGCTGGACGTGTTTGTTTGAGTTTACTTCGTCAGAGTTCACTAGATTTCTCTGGTTGGGCACCAACAAGACGTTTGCTTGATGTTGTTTGGGGAATCGAATCTCTTTTTTCAGATTTATGCGATTTCAACGATGCACTGAATACAACAGCTGCTGAACAATACTTACGTGATCCTGAGGCATTTCATGATACTGCACGGAGTTATGTCTTTCGTTTCGCACGATAATCAGTTTATTTCCTTATTCGACTTTGTGTATTTTCAATGCGTAGAAAAAGCCTTGCACAAATCCAACATGTTATTGTCCAGAGACACTTGGAGTTAATTATTTTTTATTTTGTAAACAGAATTGAATGCTTCATGTAAAATACTGTCAAACATCACTCTTTAAGGAAAGAGACATACGTTTTATTAGTTTTGCTTGTTTATTCTGGTTACTTAAATGAGCGAAGTTAATTTTCGATTACAGCGAGCAGTGCATTCTGTTTGTCACTTTTAACAGCTAATGGTTGTAATAAAATCATTAAAAAATATATAATTTCGTCCTTTTGATATGGTTATAATTTTGTTCATTATGTCTGTAGTTTCATTGAGAACTGATAATATTAGATAGCATACATATAAATAATTTTTATTTTACAGTTTAATGCAGTCTATCAGACTATTAAATTTGCTACCAAGAAGATGTTTGACTGTATACTCATTACGACTAGTTAGTACGACAAATTCATCACCACCACATAATCCCGATAGTAAAACTCAGAAAAGTAAGAATTCTACTTCTAACAGTTTAATAATATTTATTTTTTCAGCTGTAGAATGTATTAAAAATGAAAAGAAAAAGTCTACGGGAACTATCTACAATGTACCAGAGTACTATGAACATAAAACATTTTGTTTTTACGACTTGGAGATACAACTAAAAGGATTTCGATTACCACAACCTAATCCTTCATGATCTTATTAGTTTGCAATTGTTTAAAACATATAATTGTATAATGTAGTATATAAAGAAATTAATAATGTACCAGACACACAAAGTAAATATACAAAATATATCTTTTCTTATTTTCACTATGACTTCTTTTACTCATTATTTTGTTATGTCTGTAATATCCTACTAATCTTGTATATAAGTAGTTAAAGAATTATCTGTTTATTTCTTTAGACATCATCAACAATGAATATTGAAACGTTAGAAAAGCGAGTATGCGAATTAGAACATTTAGTATTTGGACCTACTAAATCAGTGAAAAAGTTGACAACTGAACATAAAAAAGTTGACCTAATTATTAATTCATTTTATGAATTTCTTCATTAAATATCTATTTAGAATTTAGTGGATCAACTATATGAACTATACTCTGCTATGTTAATTGCTGAAAAACGTCCAGTTAGTAGTAAATTACTATCAAGAAGTAAGAGATTTTTTTTTCATTCCTGTTTACAATGTTTACCTTTTATTCAATAATTTTTTTTGTCTAGTTAACGAGATTCAAAAATATACCGATCCAAATTTCATGGAAGATGATACACTTTTGGCTCAGTCTAAAATTGAGATTATTTTAGCTCGTAAGTACAATAAAATTGTGTTTATTCAATATAGTTTATAAGTAGTTCTGATGATAGTACTTTGTTAACATCTAATTAGAATTTATTTTTATTTACGTTGCTTATTAATGGGCAAAACGTACATGAAACGAGTATATATATATATATATATATATATATATATATATATATATATATATATATATATATATATATATATATATATATATATATATATATATATATCAGTTGTAGCATCTCAAATTATAAAACCAAATGATTTTATGTTTGAATTTACCAAGAAGCACCATTTTCCCCTTAAGATTGCAGGTACACCTTACTAACGAGTGTTAACTAGTAGGAAACCTAGATTGAGCAGGATTTTTTGCCAGCAACATTCAATCACCTAATGTTTACGCCATATGATCTGTATAACTCGGGACCAGTATAATATTATGTCAATTCACTTTGTCAATATAACTTGTAATCTAGTACAAAATCGTGTTGTCTATTTTAAGGTAAAATATGTAGAATGTAAATTCTGAGGAGGTTATTTCGTTCTCGAGAATCAAAATAAATGATAGGGTTTTGGGACCTAAAGTCCATTTGATGGATAGTTAATAAAATCAACATAATTCTAACATGTTTGATTGATTGTAGGCCAGTCTCTATCACATCTTATAGTTAACCTGTGTAGATTTTTATGCATAAATGTAGTAATGGAACACTGTAGAGGTAAACTTTCTTTTCTATTCTTTTTGAAATCTATCCTCATTGTTTAGAAGTATAGATAAGTTTGTGCAAAGGAACTATCGATTTTATTCGTTTGTTTACTTTGTGATATCGTTTCTACTTCTAAGATTTCATTATCGTAAATCAATTTGTGACATTTCATGGCTTATTTCGCGCTTCATGTTTGATTGATGCCTAATTGTTAAAAATATTCCAAACAGTTGTAGCCTGTATCACAAAATATGACGTGAATGCGAATTACCATATTAATCCAGAATTTAAAAAAAAATAGAGACTCCCTGTTTAACAAGGAATAATGAGAAATTTTTGAATTCAATGTAAGCTCTCACAATTGATGGTCCAAATATTTAAACCTTTAGTCATAGTTATTTATTTTCAGTAGAGTGTGATTTACTATGACCATCTCATCTCCTTGTCCTAATGGAATATGGTAACTTGAACTTATATACATATGTGCCAGATTTCATATTGCGTTTCACTAACTGATTGACTGAAATTGTTTCAGAATATCTGTTGTGCTTTTTAAAATATTTGAGGATCATTCAATTAATAGATCAATAATTGGGTCAGTATTGTATGTAATATTTAAATGTATCTTGTTAAAGATACTTTTCGACTGGAAATAAACACCATTGTCATCCGCCATTTTGATCTTACGCCTGGCAACCAATCAAAATGAAGTGAGAATTACTATTTACGCTATTGTAATCCACATACACCTCCAATTAACTACAATTAAATGACTAAATCGACGAAAAAAAATAACCGTATATTACTGACTCCAATACTTAAATGATTTGACAACGTGAAGTATATTCCCGCTTTACTTTTTTTAAGCATTATATTGATTTATGATCAATTTACGTATCAGACATCTCATACATCTTGTTTTACTTCTAAATTTTATTATTTTAGAACGAGACAGGATAGAGAAAATTGGCAGTGATCTTGAAAAGATTTCAAAGTTGCGAGATTGTTTAAATCATCCAGCATTTGGTGGTTAGTTCATTTTTTCATGTAGAAATTTATCTATTTTAGAAATCAGCACGTTAAAAAAGAAGTTTGAAGATCTACGAATAGTACATAATGATCAATATGTTATGTCCGAGAAGTTAATCGCTGATACGCAAGCTTTATTAGATACATATCATAATTTAGTATGTTAATGATTTGAATTGTCTGTAACATTTTTGTTTCATACTGTTATCTCTTTCTTGATTTAAATAATCCGATATATCTTGAATGATTAGTATGTTTTTATATTGTACTTCACATCTGTTAAATTGTACACTTCAAGCGATTGAGATCTAACACCTTTATGCTACGTCGTTTATAAGCCTACCTTTTCACCAAAGAACTTAATGAGATACAAGATTAAAAAAGGTGTATTCTTATTACTCAACACATTTGCATAGATCATTTATCACTAATATTGGATGGGAAAATAACATAAAAAAAGTAATTGTGGCTGATGAACTCCGTTGTATATGAGCATTTCAATCTACTTAAAACAGTTCTATCATCCAAGTCATTTTTACTGATAAATGTAATTCTTCTATATATCATTTCTTCAAGTTCTCCTCTACATATTTATGTTAATTATTGTGTCATCTTGTTCGATATTGATTATGCCTCGAATGTCATGTGTTGTTGCATAGTGTTAAGGTTAAATTTGTTATGTGTCATTTACTTACGGAATTCATGAGTTTCACATGAATCGGTTATAAACTTTAAATTACAAGTTTACATTGATGATAATCTTTTCACTATATAAATGCCCTGGTACGGCCGAGAGTGGGGAGAGTCCGCTCTCCCTCTCGAAATGCTCTCAAATGGCCACGCGTATATAGCCTCTGCCAGGGAAGTCCTACTCACTGCCTTCTCGTGGCACTACTGTTGTTTACGAAATTGAGAGGACGAAAAGCTAATGTCCGGCGCTTTAACCGGATCCCAAACCAATGGTGCACATGGACTCCAGTATCCTGAAGGAACAAATGGCGTATGAACCAATCGTTGGTCACCGGCTACCATGGGACTGCATCTCCTCACGATGCTCCACTGCCTTGTGGGTCAGACGTTCAGGTCGAAGGCTCGGGGTGTGGCCCCCTAAGACAACCACCTGCTTCGGTTTGGGCAGCCGGGCAGTATCACAGCCCTCACACAAATCTCATTTGATTTGTGTGACGCATATGTTTTTGGTGCCTCCTTGTACCAATATCTATGTGTTAAAATAAATAAAGATAGTAGGTAAAATGTAGGCTTGAATCAGTATGTTTACAATATTTATAAACGTACTTGTGTGTTGAACTATTTGGGAGAGTCCACATCACTATTCAGTGCAAAATAATGCTCCCTGGTTTTCAGTGGTTATTTGACTATATTCAGTCCGTGATGTGTACTACAGATTGATGAGTTCCCATAAACCTCTTATGCTACTAGTATGCAGGAATGTTTAAACTTGTGACCTATACTAGCCATATATGTAACCCACTTATGCTGTTTGTTCCATTATATAGCTTCTAAAAATTGGTGACATTGAAAGTCAATGACCATTATCTTTGAAGCATCATCCTTAGCTAAGGACAACTGATTTACTGAAATGGACAATATGAATAAGATGTAATGTTATATGTTAGCTATTTCCCAATACGATTCTCACATCATTAATTAAAATGAAATTGACACTTTCAACAATTGTTTTCCTTTCATCTGTCACAACCTCGATTTGCCTGCACACTAGTTGGTGTTTTATATGCAGGGAGTTTACGACCCTGACATAATAGATTACTTAGTACAACCTTGAGATTTGTACAATATGAATCCGATTTGTGACTGGATGGGCTTGGGGGCGGATAGAAGAAACTATCCAACTATTGACCTATGAGCAAACTGGTTAGTGAAGAGAGAGCAGATTTGGCTGGAACTGTATAACCGATTTAGTCCTGATCCAACTAACTCAGAAAAGTTATCTGAATAAACAGATAACTAATAGTACACAAGAAATAAGAATAATATTATCATATATAAATTAGGACATTAGAGTAGAAAAATAGAATACAAGGGTCACTTTTAAATTACAGTGATTTTGGAATAGAAATTTGCACATTAAACGAAAGCTTAGGTTTCATAGAATAAGTTAGGGACAAGACTAAATGTTAGTACTTTACAAATTTCGAGTGAAGCTAAACAGTATCCTCAAAAATAGCTTTCGCTTTTTGTCATTGTTTCGTTAGTTTCCTTTCCATATAATCTGTTTAATAGATTGCACAAATCTCATTTAGTTTTATTCTTTCTTGTGTGACAGATACGTGACACATCTAAATTATTCATATATTGGAATCAACGTGCTTTAGCCACAGGATCATCAGTGGAATCATCTGATTCATGATTACCAGACTCTCATGTAATTTACCTTAATTTTCTATTCTCTAATATACTTTTTTCTGGTTGAGGGACATAAACAATTATTCTATCATTATTATTATATTATGTAATATGATGTAACATTTGTATATGGGCGGAGGTAACTTTTTATCTTAACTTGATCTGTACAAAAACTTAAATAAAAATGGTAATTATTCCTATTGATTAATACCCTTTGTCTTTTTTATTGTTTGTATACGTCGAGTTTATATGAATAAAATGAAAGGTAGA